CCCAGCGTAGAACAATTTCCAATTATTGTCTCGGAAGATTGTCAACATCGACAAACTGCTGATGTTATTGCCAGATATGGAAATCAAATAGTGCACATACAAGTAGTCTATCATATTAATCTTTCTTTCTAGTGTATTAGATGACCTTAACAACATAAATATAAAATATTTTCCAGCAACCCGATCAATCGGATATCGAAGTACCTCCGAAAGAGAAGAAATTCAAAGGGTATTTCAAAATTGCACGCCATTATGGATGGGCTCTTAATTATGTATTCTTTCAACTTAGATATGATACTGTGATAATAGTTGAAGGTAATTTATTTTGTATTTATAATTATATCTTGATAGTATTAAGTTACTTTGTTAAAATTCAATTACTTTATTTAGATGATTTGGACATAGCCCCAGATTTTTTTGAATATTTTTTGGGCACATATCCTCTATTAGTATCTGATAATTCTTTATGGTGTGTGTCTGCGTGGAATGATAATGGTAAAGCTGGTTTGGTCGACGACAATGCAGCAGATGTATTATATAGAACAGACTTTTTCCCTGGATTAGGCTGGATGCTAACGCGTCAATTATGGACTGAACTTTCACCGAAATGGCCGAAATCGTAAATAGAAATTTTATTTAAAGAACTTTTATTTAAAATCGGTAGACTGATTGATTTATTTTAATAGATATTGGGATGATTGGATAAGACAACCTGAACAACGTCGAAATAGAGCCTGTATTCGACCAGAAATATCTAGAACTAGAACGTTTGGCAAGACGGGAGTGAGCAAGTATGTACTTAAATTAATAGGAACATATTCTGTTAATTTAAATTTAATCTGTATGTTATTTGCAGTGGAATGTTCTATGAAAGGCATTTAAAGTATATCAAGCTGAACACAGAATTTGTGCATTTCACAAAAATGAACTTAACTTACTTACTAAAAGTAAGAAAAAGTAAATTTTAATAGCATTTAATAATAGCTTAATTCTAAGATTGTGTAAGGTATATAAAATTAAAAAGAAAATTTATCTTTATTTTAAATAAATCTTTCAGGACAATTATGATATAAATTTCGTCAATGAAGTGTACCAGTCAACGGTAGTGAGTTTTTCTGAATTGAAAAGTGGAAAAGTTGTGGCAGCTGGCGCCGTACGAATTCCTTATTATTCTAGACAAGCGTACAAAAACACTGCCAAGCAGTTTGGATTAATGGATGATTTCAGGGTACTACACAATTCTTAAATTATGAAATAGATTGTAGTATTGTTCGTAATATAGCATGATAATTAGACTGCGAATATTTGCGAAATGCTTTGAGCATTTTATTATTATATTATATTCTATATTAGGAGAGAATATTGTACTTTCGGTATTTTATATATTTTTGCATATTACATACATTCTGTACATTGTTGCAGCTTTATATTCCTCATAAATGCATAAAAATTCGTAGTTTAGTGATAATAAAATGACTCATGTATTAATATTTACAATGGATTTGATATTCATAATTTTATGTAGAGTGGTGTACCAAGGACTGGCTATCGTGGAGTGGTCACGTTCTATTACAAGGGACGACGAGTACATTTAGCGCCCAGTGCAAACTGGAATGGCTATGACACAACATGGAGCTAACAAAAGATTCGATATTACATCCCCCTTTTTAGACTTAAACGACTAATTGCTTCCATAAGATCGTTCGTTGAAATCGAATGAATATTTTAACTACATTGAAAACACATGACACATGAACGTTTATTAGTTATAAGTGTTGCCAGTCGAATTTGTGTCAACGAATTCATCAAGGATTAACGGCTGCTTGTAATTTTTCTTATAGAAAATTCCTCAGCGAAATTTGGGTAAATATTGTTACGTAATAAGAGATTTGCATAGTGCCTCAAAACTCATACCCACCGTTTGTACACAAAGTGCAATGTAGATCATGGTATACGGAAAGTCTACTTCGAGTATAAATGTAAAAGTGAAAATAGCGTTCCAGAATATCATGTCTATGGAGTATTGTATACCGAATTGTAAAACGACTGATAAAAAAGATTTGGATTATTCGTGTAACTTGGCTTTACTTGTATTAATTCGCTTCCATTTTTTTCTTTCGTTTTATCTAGTCTAAGTATAAATGGGATGATTTGTTTGAATAGATTTAATAATTCCTATTCTCTTCCAGTAATATTTTAAGGTTTCTGAACCTTTATGTAATTCAGTGGAATTTCCTATTTCACTTATTTGGAAATCATTATTATATAGATCCGTGTTGCACGAATAACCTAAAATCTTTTCATTGTGTACATAATGTTTATATTATATCAGGTGTATATAATTTGAAAAGAAACCAATGTTTCAGCTGAATTCATTCTTGTTGCTTACTTCCGAGACGTAAAGAATTTTATATGTTACTATCAAGTAATAATTGAAAAGTCAAGAAGGTATGACTTCATTGAACTATTTCCGGGATTATTTAAAAAGATTTCAGTGAAGCATATACAAATGTAAAATAAATAAATTCTGTATTATAATTTCTTTATCTTATAATAACAAGCAAACGTTCTATTAATAATAAAAAGATCATATGCAAGCACTGATATTGATGTTTACTTTTATCTTTTTATTTTATTAAATATGTTTGGTAGTTCATAATTTACTTCATTTTCAATGCATTTATGTTGCTTGCAAGCATTTATTCACAATCCTATACAGAACAAATACAAGCCACTTATATGACAATATTCATTCTCTCAAACTTGTAGTGTATTTAGACTACAAAACTTGCAATTATATTAAATAACATTAAAAACTGAAACCACTACGTCCACCGTATTTTGGAGGGGGATAGGGTGGAGTAGGTAGCCGAGGCACTGCATCTGGAAATTCTCGTTTTTCTTCTGGCGGTTTTGGTCTTGGTGAATCATGTACTTTTGCTTCGCAAAAATATCCAAAAGGTGGTCGTTCTAATTTTAAGTTTTTTAACATACAATCATCAAATACCTGTCTGGTCTTACTGCAACTAATAATTATTGAATTATGTTACAACCTGGTAAAAACAAATTTATCTTTTCATATTGTAAATCATTTCTTTTTATCTTCCTCTTTTTTTAAATATTATAATAATCAAAATTGTAAATATTCATTGTAAAATTTTTTCGTTAACGGAGAGTAACAAATTTTTATATTTACATACTGTGCAAAAATTTGTATCTATATTTTACATACTGTTCATCATCGCTTGCCGTTGAAGATGTGTCTATAACACAATCCACATGTGCTTGGAATTCGCTTCCACAATGTTTCTTAATGTCCTGGAATCCTTCTATCGCACACTTGGTTACTTCTTTGCCTTCTTTCAGACATTTACGAGGATCTTTCAATTCATATCTACATAGCATAAATTCCTAAAATCAGAATATTACTTCGATTAAAAATTTATTGATATGCAACTCATATATTTATAATTAGATTGCAGATTTTTATAGGAAATTTGAAGTTGTAAAAATTTACACAACACATATAATATGCAGACATATATAAAATATTCAAAATAAAATATTTATTACAATATTTAGTACATAAAACTTTCTGTTTCAGGTTTTACTTCTTCAGTTATGTTCATAAAATTATAAAAATGCATAAAAATCCACAGTTTATACATAATAAATGATTTATCATATATTGGAAATTGGGAGTAACAATTGTTATTAATTTGCATAAACTTCATTAAGATTATATAACTTTGAAGGCACTTCGAATCGCACAACTTTGTGCGATTAATATCAAACAATATTGTACTTTATAATAAATGGAAGGCGAAAAAGAAACACGTACATTATTAAACCATTCGCATCTTTTTGCAAGAAAGACAGCAGCGGCAGCAATATAAGGCCAACTGATATTTAATTCTTGTGTATTTAACTCTTCGTCCGAAGGGAGCTTGAAATTCGTCGAATTAGTCATACTGTATTCTACTGGATCACAGTATAATAACGAGATAAATGTCGTGTTTCATGAATTAATTGATGGCAATCCTAAAAACAACAATTACAAATTCATTTCAACATATTAATTCATTGATTCTTTGATGTAAAAATACAATAGATATCACTACGTAGATATTACTTAACTACTGGGTTTTCGAAGGCGGATCTGGATGCCCTCTTCTCAATATTAATTTTTGTTGATGTAAGTAATGGCGGCGTATTCAAAAACTTAAAAGTTAAAAATATATTATTAATCCTAGATAACCTTTAAAGTATTTGAAGAACAGCGAAAAAAGATCCTTTAGAAACGTTGACTAATATTTCAAACATATAAATTTTTCTTTGAGTTACCAGCCACTATACAGTGTCAGAAATGCGTTATTTTAAGGTTAGAAAAAATTATCTCTGACAATGATTCTCGCGCTACTGTGCATGCTACTAACATTTGGTAACAAGATACTGCGCATGTGCAGTGATACGAGTGCAGAAACATACCAACTTCAGGTTCCTTTGGAACCTCCGATTAAACTATACTGTTAATTAAATATAAATGAAAAAGCATTACTTAAATTTTATTGGATATATAGATATCAATTAAATTAAACGCTCTATCATTATTAACTGCAGATTTTTATGCATTTATAGAAAATTTGAAGATACATTTACAGAAAAAGAAAAAATACATAAAATATTGAAAATATAATATTCGCTCTGATATACAAGTTGTTTGACAGATCTTACCAAAGTTTTACCTTTTTACTTGTTACTTGTTATAAAAATACGGATTGGCATACAAATCCACAGTCTAATTATATATTATACATTTTATACTCGATAGAATACATTATTTTATTATATGGAAAAATAGATAAATAATATTATGGAAAGATATTTATGAATATGATTGCGCATTCTTCTATTTTAAAGATATGTTTTCATCAAAAAGATGATAATGCTAATGCTGTAATTGATCTTTAAGGAAGTTGTTAAATTACGTACCAGAGAAAGTTGGACACCACTGCAGTAGTTATTCTGTCATGGTGGTAGTGTTCTTTTGTGTTCTGTTAAAAATGAAATTTTCTGCATTTTAGAGATTATAAAGACATTCTAAATAATAAATTCTGTAAATATCGTGCTCAATAATAATCTACAACCATGAGTGATAAAAGGCAACAGAATTTATCGGTACGTACTCGTAGGACAATATATTTATGATAATTTTAAGATACCCATTTTTCGGAGTATTTAAGTTTAGTATTAAGAAAAACAAATTTAAATCTATTAAGTTTAAGATTTTGAATAAACATGCTCCATTTACTATCTTTCTAAACTAATTTTTACAAAATTCCATTATTGCTAAATAAAGATTCTATTTTACAGAAAGAAGAAATAGCAAAACAGTTTATGTTGCCAGAGAGAAAAAGCAAAATTGCTACTTTATTGAAACAGGATGGACAAGCATATTGTATTTGCAGAAGTTCTGATAGCTCGCGTTTTATGATGTAAAGTGTAAACATAAATTATTCATTGTTTATCACCTAATGCAAATCAATGCTGAATGAAATTTATATTAATTTCAGAGGATGCGATGCATGTGAAGAATGGTATCATGGTGACTGCATAAATATAACAGAGAAAGATGCCAAGCATATAAAACAGTTCTTTTGTATTGTAGGAATTACTTATTTTTAGTGAGCCATTTGTATTGGGTTGTACTAATCGAATATATTTTTAGCGTTGCAGAGAAGAGGATCCGACTCTAATAACACGTTACAAACCTCGAAGAACAGATCAAGAAGATCGTAAATACAAGAAGCATAAAGAGAAAGAAAGAGCACATCGATACGAGTATGATGCACCTTGGGATCCTACAGCAGTAAAGAAATCGTCTAAACGTTGTGGAGAATGTACAGGTTGCGTGAGAACAGAAAATTGTGGAAAATGCGATGCATGCAGGTAATCATAACACGAATATAAACAAAAAAACTCTTAATTAGTTCTGTCCTCACTAATAATCATTTAATTTTTAGACATTTAAAAAAATTTGGGCCATCAGTTAGATTGAAGCTCAGATGTATACAGAGAACTTGCAGAGTGTTAGGTGATCCATTGAAACCATCAAAGAGCTTCAACAAAAGCTCAAAATTTATTAAGAAACGGAAAAGAGACTCTAGTAATGAAAGGAATGAACATTTGGAAGTACCACGACACTGTTATGGACCCGCTTGTACGAAACAATCTCGACCAGGTAGTAAATATTGCTCAGACGAGTGTGGCTTGAAATTAGCAACTAACAGGATTTACCAAGTGCTACCTCAACGGATTCAAGAATGGTCATTGACGCCATGTATAGCAGAGCAGAATAATAGAAGACAATTAGAAACAGTTAGGAAACAGCAGCAAGACGTTCGAAGAATACTTCAGGAGCTGGATAAGAGGCACGCAGAGTTGGACAGAATTATCGAACGCGCCAAGCACGCGATAATTGATCCTCAGACAGAAGTGGATGACAACGACGACACAGAAATGAGCATGTATTGCATTACTTGCGGCCATGAGATTCATTCGAGGACTGCTATCAAGCATATGGAAAAGTGTTTCAATAAGGTATACTCAAGGAATACATAGTGCGTACTACAGAGCTAAAAAGAAATCTTGCTTATGATCCAGCATTGCTACATTGTTTTATTTGTATGTACATTACCATGTATAAGTATACTGATACTTGGTGGTATCAAAAGATTGATAGTTTTATTATATTTTCAACATTGTGATAGAAGAATGTTTTTCTAATTCTTTACTTTACTTCTTAATTTAATTCTTTACTTCTTACCATAATGGATCAAGTATTCTGTTAAATTGAAACTGAAACAAGGAATATAACTGCATCAATCAAGTTCCATGTTTATCTCTAATATATAGCCGACACATCCCAAAATCTATATAACTTTTAGAATGTGGTTTGAAATACATATTTCAATCATTCTAAGATGTCTACAACTTTTTTTCAGCTCCATACAATTTACCCTTTGATCTTTTTATTAAATTATATGTATTTATTTTTCAGTACGAATCTCAAGCATCCTTCGGTTCAATCTTCAAAACTCGTATTGAAGGACAAGTAATGTTCTGTGACTTTTACAATCCTGTGAATCGAACTTATTGCAAAAGGTTAAGGGTTCTTTGCCCCGAACACTGCAAAGATCCAAAGATCAGTGAAACCGAAGTGTGTGGTTGTCCATTGGTTACAAACGTATTTGACACGACTGGTGAATTTTGTCGAGCGCCAAAGAAGAGCTGCGTGAAGCATTACGTCTGGGAAAAGTTGAGACGAGCAGAAATTGACATGGAGAGGGTGAGACAATGGTTGAAAATAGACGAACTTGTCGAACAGGAGAGGCAAATTAGAGCGAATATGGCTACTCGGGCTGGTGTCTTGGCTTTAATGCTTCATTCTACATATAATCATGAATTAATGGAACAAATGACGCAAGAACAAAACAGAGAACAGCTAGAAGCTATGGAAGAGGAACTGCAGCGAAGGTACGGCTTGCTCCAAAAGGAGCACACCGCAGAATAATGATTGTTCTTGCTATAAATGGTGTCTTGTAGCTGATGGTATGTTGAATTTTATAACATATCTCCATGATGTGTTCAATATCGTATTTATAATAATATATTGTACAGAGTAATATTATTAATAGCGAAAAATAGGAACGTATAACGTTTAGCAAATAAGATTCGTGGTTCGGAATGATCTAGAATAAATGATAAATTTGTAAAATAGTTATTGTTAAGAATTATGAAAAAATCTTCTTGGTTGAGTCGAAGAAATATGATTACTCGATTATTGAGATTTAATTGGGAATGAAATTATTCATAACGAAAAGGAAAAGATTATTAGAAATTATTGTTAGAAATATAAAAGATGGAGATGCTCGGTTCAATGAAACTTTTGCAATAATAATATTATAGTTGACTCGCTTAATAATAAAATTAACGATTTACAAGTTAGAGAAACAAAGGGCGTATAGTTACAAAAAGAGAAGCTGCAAAAAAAATAGAAAAATTGCCTCTGGATCGACTTTGTATAATTGTGTATTTCTCTTTATTTATAACGTTCAATTAAACTTTTGTAAATTCAAATTTATAATATAATTTTTCATTATCTATTTTAGTGTTCACAATATATCATTTCACATTATATGATTGCACATGTGAAACAAATCAATAACTCGTTATATGAAACATAATTCCAACGTTTCTAAAATTTACCACACTTTAACTTCAATAAATATATTACTTGCTTAATTTTAACCAGTTAAGTTCCGACTCGTCGCTAGAAAGGATACTCTCTCAAAATACTTCTGAATTACAACAAGTTTCCAATCATAACACAGGATATTACATATTCTGGCACAATACAACTCTTCAATTTTTATTACTGCATGTATATACATATAGATATATATGTATATATATTCTGAATATCAGTAACGCATACATATTCTGAACACACATATATATATATTTATATATATATATATGTATATATATTTATACATGTCACATCTTTCCTTCGTATCTTTTTATGCTGCTTGGTATGTTTTTGAGGCAAACTGTGAGAATTAAAACACACTCTCTCTCGTTTTCTCTGGGCATCTGTATCGGCAATAACCCATTGACAATGGAATAAACTTCGAATATCCTCCAAAAACGCTTTGGATGAAACTCGCTATAAATAACTAGCTTAATATATTTAGTGTTTTGCCAAGTGTTGCGCTCAATATAGTTGCAAAAAACAATCTGCGTAACTCCTAGGATTCGTACTTGGGAATGAAGGCTTATTTACCAAAAAATTTAGTTCTTTTTATAATTTCATTCACCACTTTCTTCTTCATTTTTTTATTTTCTTATGTCATTTATCAGTAAATTAGTATTATAACAGTGTCCAATGTCTCCTCACTATATGTATACGCATTTAGTATTCTTTTAAATGATCTATGAATTAACTTTATCTTTTTTTCTCTTGTTTCCTTTCTTATCCTTTTTTTTGTTCTTTTTCCTTTTCTTTACACGTAAAGACATGCACGCACTTTTTTTCATGAACTTACTCGCAAACTGAATGTGCATTTTCTGACACACTGTCATTATCCGCCACGGCTTTCGTGATCGGCGAAACGGCGATCGATAGCCTGGAAATCCAGTAAATTGAGAAAACGATGGAAATATAATCAATGTATACGTACGTATCTTTGTTCTTTTCTGTTTTACTTTATAATCTTTCAGCTCTGAGCGCGCGCACGACGTAGCTAGGATTTTCTTTTTACGTATAATTTATAAACGACGAGACACAACTAAGCTGCCGAAAGAAATCGTCTCTTCCGCTAGCTCAATGGTATTATTATTATTATTATTATTATTACTTTTTTTGTATACTTTTTAATACTCTTTTTTTCTCTTTTGTCTTTCTAATTACTCTTGACGATCGTCGAGACTTGGTCCCAACCGCAATGGTGAGTTTTCTCGTGTCGCTCTGGATCCATTAATAACTAGATTGCGGATGTTTATGCAAATTCATATCTTTCTAAATATGAATAAAGAAATGGAACTTAAAATAGAGACTTGTTCCGTTTTCTAAATATCATTACTAGACTGCGGATTTCTATACATAAAATTTTCTGAACATATGCAACTGGAGAAATGTAACCTAAGTGAAAATTTATTTCATCTACTAAATACAATAAATACTCTATTTTGGATATTTTATAGATTTTTACATATAATATGTACTCTGTGCATTTCTACACCTTTAAATTTGCTATAAATGCATAAAAATTCGCAATCTAATCATAATTTTGATGCTTTCACTTTGAATATATTACATATTCTTGCATGCTATATACATTGTGTGCATTTTTCCAACCTTAAATTTCTCATAAATGCATAAAAATCCGCAGTCTGCTAATAACGATCGATCATGGACTCGAAATTCCAGCCGTTTCTCGGTCCTCACGACGGAAGCCGCATTCTTTTCAAACATTTTTCTGACGAAATTATGCGAATCTGTAATTTTTTTCAAAAATGTTTAAATACATATATTTAAATATATATGTTTAACCCTCAACTGGTATCGTTGCAGTAGAGTACATTCTTATTTGTCAAGTATTTTAATTTGTTTAAACATTTATGTCTGAGGCGATAAAAATAATTAATGATACTTTTTCTCCAATAAATTTATATTTTAATATTGAGTACCGTAAACTTGTAGTCACCTATATTACCCAAGGATAACAGTTAAGAGCTAAATTAAATTAAAAATAAAAAATTAAGCGACCAAATTTGCCGCGTGTATGGTTTATGTAACAAATTCGTTTGTCATTTGGTATTAAATTTCGAATCTCTTTCATTAAATAATTTAAAGTATGTAAAAATATACATATTAGAATTTTTTAACAAAGCAAAACAAATTTTAAGTTAGATAATCTATTTCCAAAGGATAATGGACCAAAATTTAATTAATAAATCTATACATATATATGTATAATTAACCTAACTTATCTTCAGAAGATAATAGAGCAAAATTTAATTAAAATCTAGTAGCTAAAAATGAATCTTACGTAATTAAAAATGAAAAAGTAACGATTTTTAGCGAAAGAACTTATTACACAACATAATAAATTAAAAATTAATAATTATCGTCATTTATGACATATAGAATTTCGACTTCTGCATTTGAGATTTCGACAACTTCGATTTTGTTCTTCGTTCGAATCTGTACCAAATTTGGAAAACGATCATAACCTATAAAAGAATCGATTTTGTTTTCTGTATTTCTTTAGTTAATTACTTATTTATTTTTCAAAAAGATAATCATGGAAAGCGATTCGAAGGATAGTCGACGTTTCAAAAAGAGTACAGCTAGGTCCGATCGATCGACAATCGATTTGTTCGCGATCGATAATCGGACGCGAAAACGGCGGGAGATGGATGCAGAGAACAATGATTGTTTGCCTAATGGCTGCAAAGATAATGACGAAGGCGCGACAGTGTCGGCGAAATTGAACAGTTTACAGAGGTTATCCTTTCTTTTTTGTATATATCTCGTAAATAATCTTGTACTTTAATTACTGAAATGAGACGACAAGATTTTCTTTTCTAAACAACGGGGCGGGAATAAACGTCGCTAGATGTGTAAAATATAATTATTCGATAGATCCGCATAGTTTTTTTTTAAATACAAGTTTCGACGCGTCTAAAGTAGCTCTTTTTTTCAACTTTTTTCTCTTTTTTCCCTCAAGAAAGTTCGTCACGGTTCTATGGGATCCTTCTTTCCCTCTTAACACGAAGAAGAAAATTCGCCGCTGCTTCGAGCGCGATAACGATCGATCCAGCAGTAAGATATTGCAGCACTCGTACGTATCACTGGTATCGATCTTTCAAATCGTCTCGCATCGTTCACACTCTCTCTTTTTGTTTATTGCTTATAGTACAAGGACGCGATTAACGCTATTCAACTTTTTTTATTTTTCCTTTTTTTTACGTCATTAGACGTGAAATCAACCTCTCCGACAGCATGAGTCGAGTTTTACCAACCTCTTTTTAATTCTTTCTACAAAAAATTCATGTACAGTGAAAGCTGGATAAGTGTGCGGCACGATATACTCCGTATTTCGTCATTATACCTCCCTCTCTCGAATTTCTTTCTCTTTCTTTTTTACTGTCTTTTTTGAAGTTTGGTCTCGACCAATAGATCAGCATTTTTCAACCAATGTACCACGAGAATTTTGAAAACATGCAATATCTAATTATTTAGTCAGGGGCACTGACCTCTTCTCCTTTAGATTATCAAATAAAAATATACTGACAGCCAAAACAATAGTCGCCCAGTGTGAATATCCTGTCTTGAACCAAATATAATATATCTTTTGGTGTTCCGCAGAATTTTACTAATTAATTTATGCCTTAGTATTAGTTTGTTAAGGATTAGATAAAAGAGGTTGAAAATTGTTGCAATGGAAAATACATCCATCTATTAGATAAATGCAAGTTTGTGTTTCTTTTTCTCGAACACTTATTCAACTTTAACTGTATCATATTGGAAAAGTCCTAATAATTAAGTTACGTTAGGTATGTTTTTTAGGTTAAAAGGAAAGGAAATAGATAATCAGTAGAGGACAGAAAATCTCGATGCACGGTGTCTGGAGATGCATAACGCGATTATTATCGAACAATGGCGGAGCGTAAAATCAAGAGAAATTACAGTGTACGTTAAATGCCATTACGAAAGTGTCAACATCCGGCGTCTCGATACCGCAGGCAGTGGCACGTTTCGATTCTATACGATAGACCGGAGATACCAGATTCGAAAACAGAATTTTTGTGGCTATGCAACCATCGATCGACAGAAATTCTCCCAACTATTTGAAAATACTCAGCACATTTCCTTCTTTTCTCCTTCTTCTTTCGGTACATCGTGAAATGATATTACAAATGGTACAATATTAGCAATATTACCACGTGAATTCGTAATTCGAAATTTTCGTTTGCGCATGGGCCACAAATCTCTTTCTCCAACAAGATTAATTCTTTCGCAAACCAATATCAATCAATATCTATTGTGAAGTCGATATTGAGACTCAATTATCATTATCATTATCATCATCATCGTCGTCGTCGTTATTATCACTAATATTATTATTATTATTATTGATTCAACAAGGACAGAAGACAACGGTTAACAATAAATTCTGTGTAAGAATATTTAAATGCCGCAAAAGGATTAACCTTGCAATCTGGAAATACCGACGGAAACAATTTGATCGGCGATGGGGACGACGATCTCCGGTTTAGTCAAATCTACGAGAAAGTTTGCGTCACGGGCCACCGGAAGTCGCCCCCCCCCCCTCTCGCTGTTCCTCTAACTCTCTGATACAGTGATAAATAAACCGCAGATTTCTATGCAATTATAAGAAATTTAAAGATACAAAAATGCATAGAATGTATAGAATGTATAGTATAAAGAAGTATATCTAATATCCAAGGTATAATAGCCTTTATAACATTTAATAAGTAAAAGAAATTTCTGTCTAGGTCCTACTCATTTAATTGTATCTCTTGAACATATGAATTTGCATAAAAATCCGCTGTCTAGTGATTAGGTTTACTTTACAAGGATATACAAGTGTTTTCTGGCTACTCGTCTCCACCGAGTTCCTTTAAACAAAAACGAACAAAATCATCGGATTGCTTGATCAATCTATAGGACCATTATCATGATCGTGATCTAACCAATAATAATATATATTTACAACAAAAACAAATGACATAAATATGTAAAAAGATTGAAAAAAGGAAAAAATACTATAGAAAGTAAGTAAATGATTGAGAATTATTTTATAAGCCAAACATAACCTATACATATAAGAAAAATTTTGAGCATGATAAATGCCCCTAGAGATCGATGACCGATTAAAGGCGCGAGAATACTATTGTATGTATATATATAGTATATATATAGCATATATATATAGTATATTTACATCGTTAGGTGAAGACAGCTCGATCTCGTTACAGGATCGATAATCAGTTCGAAGCACGAGATGGGAAACGACGTTTACGGATCGATGCAATATCATACCGCTGCACGAACATGATTTTTCTCACTTTCATCGTGTCGATTAAGTTCACACTTTATATTCTATCCTCTTCTTCTTTTATTCATCCTCTTCTGTCTTTTATTCCATCTTCTTTTCTTCTTGCTCGTAGCAACGTCGAAAGGAAACAC